CCGTAATCGCGCTTAAAGCCTCGATGATTCATGTTTGACAGATTACGCTCTTCCTACCGTGAATAATCGCCACCAACGATTTAATTCAGTTGTCGTCTTTGAGGTTTTAGGTAACGTTGGCAGGATGTTTCATTAAAAGAACGAGATAAAACATTTTCAAGTGTTCCATTCATCTGAGAGAAATTATTTCACAGTTAAGTAAAGGCTTCTTTTTTTTTTTTCATTTTCATTTCTTTTTGTAATCTTCAAAGAGATTTTATTGAGATTATTAATTGTGTTATTTTGTCGTCTCAATTTAAAATGTTTCTCTCTGGTAATTTAGAATCATTTTTCTTTCGTCAAAAAATATTGAAGATATATCCTAAATATCTGATATTATTTCGTCAATTATTGATTTATTTTTGAATTGCTTTTAAATCTTTTTAATAAATTATTTTTAATTTTAAAAAGTATAAAGTTTCAATCTTTCATAAATATATCTTGATTTGAACATAAATTGAATTTCTTAAACGAAACTTAAATAAATTTCTAAAATATTTATCAATTACTCAATAATAATAAAATTTAACATAAGAAATTAAATATTAGAATGATGGAAAATTTCACTTATCAGATATTATTTGTAAATTAACAATTTCATTTTAGAATTTCTAAGGAATTATTTTAAGAAATTCAGATAAATCAGACAAAAATATTTTTATCCATCTTTGAAATATAAGTTATAAATGTCTCTGTAATATTATATTACAGTTAGCTTTTATCAAATACTTGATACAAATGTTGCATTATTTTTGGAACATTCGAATAATTCCGTAAATTGAACAGATAAAACTTTTTCAACTTCATTCAAGTTTCAAATATTAATAGAAGCTTATTCCAAATAAAATTTTAAATTTTATTTTATTAAGTTATAATTGAAATTTGCATTAAGTGAAACGAGATAAGCTGAGAGCGTCTATCTTCGTTACCATCGAATTTTGTACTCTTCATTTCAAGGCGAAATTAAATTGCTTGTAAGTTAATAAATAAGCCTTAAGCGATATTTTTGTATATTAATTTTTATACTAGAATCGAAAGTATTCCACGAATATAATAATAATAATAATAATAATATTCTATACTCAACAAATTTTTAAATTCAATTATTTCAAAAACTAATTTTTAAATGATAAAAATTTCTATAATTCTATAATTCTTTTGCTTATTTTTAGAACTATTTTTTATCGATGATTTATTTGTATCAAATTCTCTCAATATTCAAAATCAAGCATCAATATAATATTAAAGCTAGAAAGGTAGAGAAAGAAAGTTTTTAACGTACATATTAATTAGAATCATACATTAAGTCTAATTACGAATGCTTGAATCGTTCGTATTGGTCTCTTTCACGTGTTACGAGGGCAATTGGCCTGCAGAAAGCGTTCACACTCGAAAAATTTCGCACAAACTCGTCCCAGTGAAGCGGCGAAGCACAGTTTTGAGGCTAAAATTGCTAAAAGCTCGGATTTCAAAGGCAAGTTTCATGGACAAATTAACTGGCTGTGTAATTCAGGTGACCACCAAGGGTTTCGTGGAAACTTGTGGAATAGTGAATAAGTACACGATTCGACTGTAGTTGTGAATTTCTTTCGTTTAATCCTGACACCATTAACGTTTTCGGCTATTCATTTGAATTCGTGTCCAAGATTAATAAAGGATTGACTTTCATGGTTTCGTTGCATAAAATAGTGATTTATATATTTATATTTACTTATATTATAATATTAATTTATATTATTTTAATTTTAGTATTGAATATAGAATTATAGAATATATTCTATAATAGTTTTTTAAAAAAATTATTAATCGATTTATATAGAATTTATTGTAATATTGTAATTAAATTTCAAATAGATAATCAATGTTGAAAATATTTCCTATATTAATTAAATTAAATTAAAAACATAATATTCATACTAATTATTTTTCTTAAGAGATATATTATAAGAATTTATTTCCCTAAAGAAGAAAAAAAAATGTTTAATTAGCATAAAATAACAAATGAAATATACTAGAGTCAATTATCATTAAAATATTTAAATATTCAATATATAACCAAAATACTTATTTAACATATAAATATATCACGGATTAATTAGAACACTAAAAATATAAAAATTAAAAAAACAAATATATGATATATGAAATATAATTCTCCATGAAGAACTATTATACTTTCATACTTATTAATTATTTGATCGAAATGGATATATCGCAACTTCAATTTTTATCGTCATCCATCAATTTTCATCGCTTCTTAAAATTCCCTTAACTCAAACACGCCATCTATGAAAGTCATAAGCGCCTAAGAAGAAGCCTAATTCAACGATTTGTCGCCCCATATAACGTCGTTCTATGAGGCGATCACAGAATAGAATCCCAAACATATAAAGCCCACCATAAGAGTATTTTTCGAGCAATCGTAAATCCGACTATCGCAAATGGCCAGGGGATAAAAGACGTCCCCGGAAATCGTTCGCGGCTAGAATTTAACGCCACGCCGCCTTCCATGTACACACAACGTGAAAAATCGAAGGAAACAGAATTCGTGGGGAGAATGCCGCAAGAGTTGGAAGTAACCAAGACGGAAGTACACGGGGGAGAGGCAGGAAGGACGTGATTTCTGCGGTGAGACCGGGTTCCGTTATTTGAACTGGGCGACAGAGAAGCCGATGAAGGATCCACAACCGGGGAACTCCTTCACTTTCTGTTTATTTATCGGTTTAATAAAGCCTCACCGTACACCCTAAACTGTATCAACTCTCTTTTCTACGCTTGTTTGACTTTTTATTCTGTCTTAGTGTAGAGTTTCAGAGTTATGAATAAATTCATTTATTAAATCTGGAAGAAGTTTTTGATTGTCTTTCAAATGATTTCGCAAGATCTTTTATAATTTTCTATGAGAATATCTATAATCTATAAGAATTATGAAAATGTGTTTGTAAAGTGAAAAGTTTTGACTTTGATATTAAAATTGATATTAGAATTTGATACTGTTAACATAGAATAGATTCATTTTGAGATTTTGAAGATTATAAAGTAATCAAAATTATTTTTTGTTCATAAATGTTTATCTGTTACCTTATTAATAAACTCAAATTAAGATTTAAGATTTATTCATGATAAATATTCCTATGTGCAAATAAATAAAATTAAAAAACTTAATACTAGCCAAGTTTTATATAAAAAAAAAATGTCAATATAAAATATAATCATACTACCTTTTTTTTTAAACCTTTCAATTATAATTAGATTGAAGATATTAATATGTATTTTAATAAAAAATAGATAAAAAAATAAAACCAAAATAAAAATTTATTTGTTCATTAAATCTTGTATAACATTTCAAAAAAGATGTTTTATTTTGCATATTTTGCATGTTGTATATTTTTTGCATATTGCATATTATTTGCATATTGTGCATGTATATTGGATGCATATTTGTTGCATGTTTCCTGCATATTCGACTATTAACTATCTACCAAATTCAGATCAATAAAATAGTCTCTATATATAAACATTACATACATATACGTATATATATGTAAATATCTTACATCATCTTTATAAAATAAAAAGTTCTAAATTTTAAATGGTGTATATATTACACATATGTTATGCAATAAAAATTCATGACATAAAATGTTATACAATTGTTCTTTATTTTGCATATTGTATTTGCATCTAAAAGCATCTTATTCTTCGCAGAATTTCTTCCTTATTACATATAAAACAATTCAAATAACCTATATCACAATCTATATTTATAAAAAATAATAACAAATACAAATTGCTATAAAAATTTCTATTTGGCATATAAAATAAATTAATCAGCAACCCAAACTGTAAATTACATCCTGTAAATTATCCTCATTGCAAACGAAGAAAGTTAGTGAACAAATTCCTAAAGAAACGGATCTAACGAACAGACTAAGCGGTAGTAAAACTGGAGGATCGTAGAAAAAGTAAGGGTGGGAGATTTATTACGTTCCACGCATGGAACGGTTAGCTGCACCTGCAGATAAGTGTCCTCGAGCATGTAACTCTGAATTATGAGTGGCTTCCTTCTCAACCCCGAGCATTTTTCCTTCCTTCGTCGTTTATGCCGTCTACCAACCGGATCCAAAATTTTTCCTTGTGTAGATTAAACGATAAACACCTTACATCCTACCAAACTCGCGAAATTAAACGAAAAAAAAAAAAAAAGAAAAAGCAATAAAAAAGAATGATTTGTAATTGAAAGAGTATGGAAAATGATATAATTTCATGAAGAAATTTTAATTAAAATATATTGATATTTTGTGGAATATTTCAATATAAAATATATGAAACATTTATATGTAGAATATCGTGTATTTTTTTTTTTTACTTATACTTTAAGAAAAATATGAATAAAAGATACGTTAAACTAAATTATTAGAGCACAATAAAATAATTGAAATAAGCTGCATTAATATATTATGCCTATTAATGAATTAAATTTATTCTCGATACGATTATTAATTCAAAGTTTGCTATCAGATTAAGATTAAACATAGATAAAGGAATAAGGGAAAATGGTGTCACGTTATAAGAAACTACGACAGCGTCACATAACACTTCTTGTTAATTTATATGTGCATGAAAATTAAATTAGAATAAATATATATAAACGTGAATGTTAATTAAATCTTTGAGTAAAAATAATCTTTTTTATCTGTAATAATTTATAGAAATAGAGAAAGAAAACTTATAGTAATAATGAAATTAAAAAATGACAAGAAATTTTATTTTAATTGAAATAATTCAGTAGATTTGATTTAATTTCGATTATTTGAATTTTAAAATGTATTTCTTTTTTCCCTTAATAATTTATTGCTTTTACTAAAAAATTAATATCATTTTAATTATTATTTATAGAAATAATTTAATTAATGAAAATATTTAGGTTTAAGTGATGAAATAAAACTTTTATTTCTTACCTGGTGTGCGAAATTCAACTATCGAATCGTCTACGGTGACACGTCCGTCTCGTTCGACACGACGAAGTGCTACATCGTGCCAGATTCCATTGTCGATTCGTTGTTTTGACGATTTTACTTTTACAGGTCCGCTTCCAAGATCGATATGTAGATATAAGTGACCTCCAAAGATTTCGAATGCGAAAAGATCTTGCTGCAAAAATAAATTTTATTTTATCTTTTTAATATTATAAGTTAAAAATTTCATAAAATTATATTCTAATCTTATCTAGATTTTCATATGTAAATTTGTAGCGTTATATATTAAGAAACAGATGATTTTTAAAATAAAAATTTATATTATAAAGATGTTATTTATATATTTATGCAAAATATAGAAGAATATGTACAATGCACATTACAAATTAAGAATATATAATTTTCTCATTTCTAAATAAGATTTTTCTATTGGTATTGATTCAATTTTGCTAAAAGACTTACATCCTTTAAAATTTTTTTAATTTTTTAAATACTCATTAAATTTAGCTTTGGAATATTGTTCATTTTTTTTTTGTTTGTAAAAATTGACTGTACATCAAAATATTTTATGAAAGAACATTATAACAAATAATTTATAATTAAATCTTCCATTCTTCCATTAAAAATCTAAAATCTAAAATTTTAAAAGCTTATATTTTTTCAAAATCTCCCTTCATCAATTTTTCTACCGTCCAATTCTCTCTCATAAAATTCTCACCTTTTTCACGAAACTTCCAACAATAATTCCAAAAAAAAAAAACTTAATCCTCAATTTCTCAATGATTTCCCAAAATGGCACAATGACGCGTCACTGGCCACTTGCTTTTATTTCACGACTAATAGCCATGTAATAATACATATATACATATATATATACATATATACATTTACAAACACCAAAACAGAGACATTCTGCTTTACAGAACGGTAACGGAGGAAGCATTTGTTCGGTGGAACCGGTGATTCTGCTAATGAGCAACCCGCACGAATTCGCGGCCTTAACGAGAACCCGGTTTTCGCAACTTTCCGATTTATTTCACGCCGTTCCACGCCACGCAACTGTGATTATTCGCGATGCTAGCGCCCCTCTCCACCTATACCTGTTTCAACGTTGAAATATAATTGTGGGAATTACGAGGCGGTATTGTTAAATCGAGATAACTGCAGGCAGCGAGCGAAACGCGGCTCGAGTGGTGAAAATGCATTTCCTACCCGTTGTCGCTTGCCCACCTCGTGCCCTAGATATCTCACCTGTCTACCTGCACTTGCTGCGTGCAAGTAACTGTGCGCAGAGTGTATTTCTGGAGTGGTGGTGAAGTTGGAAAAGATGCAGTTGAATTTATTGAATCGAGTCCATTCATCTTCCTCTTTCGAGGAATTTTATATAAATTGTACTTATGTTTGAAGAGAATACACACAGTGTACAGGCCATGTAATTTTTTCAGATTATAACTTCGTTAATACTGCTTTGTTGCAAGAAGAAAGTTTTTCGAAAGCAATTTTTGAAAGGAATTCTTACTTTTTTCTGTAGGTTTGATTCCTTTTAAAATTTTATGTTGAGAAATATTAGGATATAATGGTAAAGAAAAAATATAAAATTTATATAAAAGATAAGAATAGCATAAGGAGATTTCTTTATTTTTCATGTAATCAACTTTACAAAATTCGAATGAAGCTATATCTTCTAAATTAATCATTTTTTTCATTCTTTTATTTTAATAATTTTATGCAATGGCATAAATTTATTTCTTTATTTCTATAATATAATTTTATATTTATTAGTAATTTATTAAATATTTGATGAAAATCTCTGATTCTATTCCATTATTTAATTGTTTAAAGTAATTGATATAGAAAGCTTATTAATATGAAAATTAATTAGTTTAAAATTAACTTTTTGTAAATTATATCAAATTTAATATATTTTTTCTTTTTAATTGGAATATTTTTTTATCTGATTACAATATTTTAAAACTCATTAAATTTATTATCATTAACTAATTATTTAAAATAATTTTGTATACAATTACAATTAATGTATAGTTTATATAATGCTTAGTTACAAATGATATATTTATTTTTATTAATTAAATTTTCACCTCTAATTTTACAAATAAATCATAAAACGATATTTTGCATATTTAAATCGTATGGATTAATTATATTTTTATTCAAATTCCATATAATTGAATCGAATTTAATTTACAATACCTTAAGCAACAATCACTGAAAATATCCGTGCAATTTTTCAAACGAAAAATATTACTTTTGTTTTATTTATATTCATATTGCCATATAGATTATATTAAAGAGGAAAGCGTAACGTTTTAAAACACACGTATTTGATTTATGTATCAATAAATGCATTATTAACAATTTCAAAGCGTATGTCTCCTCTGCAAATAAAAATCCATTAATGGAAAAATTCCTTTTTCTATTCTATAATGTCACATATTTTTCAACGTGCGACAATAAAATTCGATTACATTCCTGTATCAATTCGATAACAGTTTTCCAGGGACAATTTTTGAAACAGTATCCATGATTTTATCAAACAAAAAACGCATCACGTGACCGATAATTTAATTGCCATCACCCCACTTCGTGTAATCTCTTCCTTTTTCGCTCGAATAAACATCGATTTTTAAATCAGTCGTAGCTTCCAACTTTCATTTATCAGTTATCGTTTTTCTATCTTCCATTCGTTCATCCATCTCTCTTCAATTCTTCCTTTTATTAAATAATCTTTTTTATGCTCTTTCCAAATTCTCGCTTCGTTTCTTTCTTCAATTTTCCTTTACATTTACATTTTCATTTCTGTTCGATATACAATTACATTTTTATTTGACAATGCGAAATTGATTATGATTATAAAGCTAAATTTAAAATTAATAATGTTAATATACACGATAATTTTCTCATACAAGAGAAAATTAATGAAGTTTTTAATAAATTATTAAAGTTAGGAAAGATTGTAATTTTTCATTCTTCTTATTAAGATTAAGTATTTGTGAAATAATTTTTTTCATTCAAAAACATTTATTTATAGCAATATTAATATTAATATTAGATAATATTAATATTAGATGATCCAAAAATTAATTGCAGTTTTTGATAGTATAATATTTAAAATTGTAGTTTTATTTTAACTGCATTTTTCTTACTCTAGAATTTAATTTTTTATAAGTTCTTTTAAAATAGATATTTAAATATACATTACATAAAAGTATTTGCCATTTCTGTCTTGGCATTAAAATTAAGAAAGAAAATAACATTAAGTGTTAAATATATACATTTTTACAAAATATATTTTGAGTAATGTATTTTGAACTTATATAAAAAAAGTCTTATGCATTTGTTTCTTTACAAAACAAATATACAAAGATAATAAATTATAATACAATATCTATTTTCGAATGATATATCACATGAAATTAACATTTGTAATGCATAAAATTCTAAATATAATTAAAAACCACAATTTATTTTCTTCAACTGTTCTTCAATTTTGAATTTTGATTTCAATAATCATTTTCATAATTTTATCAATCACGTGAAAATGATATTATTCAACGTTTTATCGATCGTAAAATAATATAAGATTAAAATGGAAAGATAATAGTCTTTAGTACTTTACAGAAATTTTTATAATATTTTTTCAACAATTTACGTAAAAGCAATAAAGTTATTATATCAGTATGACAACATTGAAAAAAAGCTCATGATCGTAATTCGTAAAACTTTAATCGCATTAAAAAGAAGTTAAAAGAAAAAGGAAGGAAAGAAGGGAGAGGCAAATCCCATGATGCCATGAATACAGACGGAAATAGTATTCACAGAGGGGCTATCAACAAAATCCGAGGCGAATGGATGGCGAACGTGCAACGAATATCAAGCAGTGAACCACTAATGAACAACTTCATTAACCGAGCTCTTGAAAATTCCACGGTTTATCGAGGCTTTTTCATTTTTCGAAATATTTCAATCCACAATTCACGTGATAGTTTCGATTAATCGCTGTGTAACCGGAAATATTCGCGAAACGATTCCGTTTTAAATTCATTAAAAATCGCTTTACAATTCTGTCAACTCATTCAAAAAAAAAAAAAAAAAGATTGAAGGGAAATTGGAAATAGTAATTGTCGTTATTATTCTTCTGTAATTACTATTTTATTGTATCATTAATTTCTGTCAATATCGTACAATCCCTGATCAAAAAATTACTTTTAATAAAATTCAATTACCTGAATGCTACCTGAATGCTAATTTAATAGTAATTTTTATTTACTAAGTACTACTTACTTTCTATTACTATTTTTATTAAAGATTACATAATTATTAATAATCTCTGTTTTCTTTCTTTGCCTTGATCGAATATATATCTTTTCTGTTTTATCATATTCTTTGTTTTTGGATGATTTTGCCAAATATCCAGAATTTTTTATTTTAAAACAACTAATGTGCTGATTTGTCTACAAATGTTTTAAATAAATCTCTCAAATATTCTCAATTGAATTAATATCGTAATATTTGTCTTGTCATTCAAGTATAACAAAAAATAATAAGATATTATAATATACAAATTATTAATATGTATATGTTATTTATTAATTGTATATGTTATATATATATGTATATGTTATATGTATATTATATGTATATGTTAATTATTAATATGTATATGTATAATATGTTATAAAAATTGATAAAATTTGCTTTTAAATCTTTCAACTTTACGAAAAATGTTGATAATTGTCTCTAATTTTTTGGCCTATGCAATTTTTAAGACGCACAAAAAGAATTATCGGATAGTAGAATTTTAGAAAAGGAGGAAAAATAAATATATCGAACGAAATACACATACCCTCGTATGAGCTCCGCTACGACTGTACATAATCAATCCGTTAGGTTCGTTGGTACGGATTTTGAAGGATATACTACCAGACTTGGCCGCCCTCCAAGGTGGCAGCACCTGAAACATAGGAGATATACGTCTTTTAATACTTTTCCACTTCTTGGCCGTCACTTCCAAAAGACGTAAAATAATAACAATAATAATAATAAAAAAAAGAAAGAAAAGAAAATAAGAAAAATAAAAAGAGAGTAAACGAGAAGGAAGGAAGAGAAATCCCTCGACGTCCTGAAGAAGAATGGAGAACGGACAGGGTTGGCGGTCCACCGTGTTCGGAATCCAAAATTTCCTGCTCTCCGCCCTGGACGAATCCATTCATCATGCATGACGGCTTAAATAATCACGTGTCTCGTGCTCGTGGAATTTTTACTTCAATTTCGTTGCCGGACCCGAGTCTCTCTGTGGCTGACTGATTTACGTTTCACCATCGAGAAATTCGCCGCAGTTCCGTCTCCACGCGTACCCAATCGTCAAATATTCCCATCTGACCAATTTGCTACTTGTTTGGATAAAAGAAGAGGAACTGAGCAAGGAAAGTCTTGTGACGCGACGCGAAAATGTGTCGATTATATAAACTGAATATTCGAGATATTGTTTGTTTTGAAATCAGAGTTGGGCAATAAAATTCTTAGTATTGATGATGATTGTATTATTGGATGTAAGAAATATTTGATAATAATCAGTTTCTATATCTTTAAAGGAATTTCTTTAGATCAACATTGATTTATGATACATATTGTAATTATTAATTTAATTTAATTTTGAAAATATAATAATTTAAGGGTTATCTATAAAAAAATATATAGAATTAATATATTTTATTCAAATAAATAATTTTAATAAAAGGAGAAGTAAATAATCGTGCAGAGTATTTATTAATTTGTAATCACGAATATAATTAATTTATTGTCATTAATCATAATTTAAAACTTTCTTGAAATCTGATAAAATATGTATTGGATATTCACTCTATTGGATATTTATGACCTATATTATTTTATAGTTTCATAATCTATACTAATGTATCATTGATGATACTAATGTATCATTATTGATTAATTCAAAAATTTATATAAGTCTATTTCTAAAAAGAAAAAAAAAAATGAAATAGAAATCAAAAAGAAAAGTAAAAATTTTGTTTAAAAATAATTTGCTTATATGACAATTAAAATATTTTTGATTACTTTTGTTAATAATTAAATTCTCATTCACATTTTTTCCATAATTTTTATAATTTTTAATAATTAATCATATTACATTTTACCCAACTCTGATTGATTTAGTATCGTTTATAGAAAACTTGTGTATCAAGAGCACCTTAGATTGAGCTTGAAGAAAGTCGAATAGTTGGTTAGTTTGATAGAAAGTTTGTTTGACCGTATTATGATGTGCGGTATTTGATATTTTGTTCGAGTATAATGATTTGTGCGCGACGGAGGATTTCTGGGTAAGATACATAAAGATTTGAAAGAAATATGGAACAAGAAGTTATCGTTTCAAAAGTTGGAAGATTGTCAAAAGCAGTGATTGTCAAGAGCAGACATTCGAGAGAAGTTCTTCTACACAAGTATTTAGCTTGAACTTTTTTTTTTTTGAAGTGCTATTCAATTTTATCTGTTCGAAAAAAAAATATTTTTTATAAATAATTCAAAAATATTATTAATTGTTCTTAAATAAATTGTATAAACTTTTTTTAAAATATTGGAAAATCAATTCTTTCTTATTTTTAATAATTTTAAGAAGCGTATTATTTGATAATAAATCAAATAATTTAACTTTTAGTGTCTGAATATTTATCAAGACTTAATCATCATATTCATTTATAGTTTTTTATGAAATAATCTAAGGGATATTTTTAAAAATTAAATTATTTATAAAGCTTATTTTTAAATATATAATTGTGATAATAACATTTAATCATATAATACGACTGATTTTATTATTCTTTTTAAAATTTTTTAAATTTAGATGAACAATTACTTATTACTAATATAATTTTTATTTTGTTCAAACAATTAGAACCAATTTCTTTAATTTTTCTTCATCATAGCCATTCAAATATCATAACTGCAGATATTTATGTAAATTCATGTTTCTATACAATTTAAAAAAATGGAAGATTTAGATTTCATCCTTTAAATATATTGTAACGAGAATTTAGGTAAATCTTTTGTATATTTTTCCATATTATATTCATTTTTGTAAATTTAAATATGAATAAATACATAAATATCTGCAGTCTAGTCATAATTTTTGCTTCAGTAAATTCCATAGATCCTAAAATCTCTCTGGGAAACAAATCCTTTTTGTTTTCCCCGATTGTCTTTCGAAGAACAGTAGCTTGTAATTTTGGAATCAGAGCGGTTTCAGGGAGAGAGACTCGACGTGAACTGCACCAAGTGTAATTGCACTTCAATGACAGTGAGGCCAATTTTCGCGATGAAGAGTCAACTCGAAAACTTACGGTTACGAGATTCATTATTTATTCTTCTTACTTTTGTTTGCCCTAAATTTTCCATCCCTTTCTCGCAATTGAGAATAAATTTCATTCCTCGGAACTTTCCTTATGAAATGTTCCTTTTTGTTAGATATGATCTCACAATTTGTATAATCACAAGTTGATCGCAGTTTAATGTTTTATATTAAATCTTGAAATTGAATATTTGAAAGATTCTGAAAAATATTAATTAATGAATAATTTTGTTAAGAATAATATTATTTAGAATAATAGAAGATTTTTAAATATAACCTATCATGTTAGAGTAATTTAATAAAATCAATGAAAAAAATAATTTATCATGTACATATATTTTTTTATTTAATAGAATATAATTTAAATAATTTTCTTTCTTTCAACATTTTTATTATTTTTTCAATAATATAAAAACATGACACAAGAACTAAATTAAATCCAATACAATAATCAAATATAAAAGGATAAAGAATAACTTTATTTTTTTTTATCCTATTAAATAATAATTATTAACATAAGATTATTTCCTTTTAAATAATTATAAATTAAATAATTATAAAAATACGAACTATATAAATTTCTTTTATTTTTTATTTTTTTATTTTTTGTTTTTTTTTCTACAGAAAGTCAATTTCCTATACGAGACAATCTATTATAAAGAAACGCAAAGATTTGTCTAAGAAAATTACTTAGACTGGTTCTATCAAAACGTTAACGAAACGAACCTCCTATGAGAATATCGGTATAAGTTACTTCTTTATCTTGCTCAGTCAATTTTCTGAACTTCTTTAACCAAGAATTTCCTCTAAAGTTTCTTTGAAGCCAAGAAATCCTTAATTGACTTAATTCAGTATTTTAAAAATAATTTAACACAAGTTATTATATCTTTAATACAATTATTTTATTATTTTTATTCATATCAAATGAGATCAAATATATAAAATACAGATATAAAATGTTAAAGTGTATTGTATAAATTGTATAATGCAGATATATGTTAAAGCAAAATAATATTTAAATGATTCATAAATAAAAAAAGAAAAATAATCAAAATTAAATAAGTTACAATGTTTGATGATAAATAAATTGATGATAAAAACAAACTTTTGATTAAAATTTCTTGCATTTTTAGGTTTTTTCTTTGATTCAAACAAAGATATAGTCAGTTAAAAAAGAGAATTTTATTATTTGTTATACATATAAAAAGATATTATAGAATAAAAAAAGAAAAAAATGTATAAGAATGTAAAATAATTCTTAATCAAATATAATCAATTATAACAGGAAATTCTGATTAGATTGAAATTTTATTTTGAGCCTGATTATTAAATTAAATAAATATTTTAATATAACAATAAATAATGAAGTTAATTTTTAAAATTATTGATTCAAATATTATATTTTTAATTATAGAACTATCATCTTTTTTTCAATGATATATTTGAAATTCGATGATATATTTGAAAAATAATTAGAAATTAAATATAATTAAAAATTGAAAATTGTGAATGTTTATGTTTCAAGATATCATCAATCAAATAAGTGACTTTCAGTGAACGAACTGTCAGGGATAATTTCATTGTGCGTGACACACGAACATTTTATAATACGTAAATAGATGTACATCTAACGACGATAAATATAGAGGTGAATAAGAAATTAAATTCTGAATGTGTTTTTTAAACGCAATATCAAGTAATGTATTAGCATCACATTAGTTAGTTTTACTTAGTTTTAATAAATTATAATAAATATAATGTTCAAATTCTATATATTCTATTTAAAAAAAAAAAAATACAAAATATAATCATTCATTGATCAGAACATTTTATTTTATATTAAATATAAAATATTTTCCTTATTTATATTTGCTTTGTTATTTGTCATTATATATTTGATTCTTTATATGTATAAGATATCCAAAATTATTATTATAAGGGATGATTTTCCCATTAGAAGTTCCCATATTAAATATTTAACTTTTAATAAAAATGAAATAGTCTTAAAATACAGATATCTACATTGTCTTATAAAAATGAATATTGTTATTCAAGGAACAAATCCAAAGCGACGTAAAAGGATGGATCAAGAATCTCTTCAATTTTCTTTTGTCATCTCTTCATCTATTTCGAATAGAATCGATTTCTTCAGCTTTTCGTTCGTTGAATATCAAAATCCTTCCAAACTCGTGCTCCTTCGTTTCAATGCCGTTCGATAAAATCAATCTATAAAATATGTTTATTGAAACCGAATATTCTGACTCGAGAAAGGAAAATACGAGATCGAACGATCAAGATGACTTGTTTCCTTTATTTCACGTTTCTCGAGAAATTCCAGGACGAGGAATCGTTGCCTGAAGTGTCGCTCGAGGGATCAAGGAACGGGAAAAAGAAGATGGAGGAATGGTAAAAGGCGAAGGCAAACATGAAACTCGAGAACGATTTAATTTCTATCGTTAATACGAATATTCGTAATGAACTCGTTATCCCTTTGAAAACGCTTATTAATTGATTAATTGTTAATTAGAAAAAAATTAATCGAGTAAAAGAAATTCTCTTGAATTTTTGCAGATATCGCGGATAAACTG